CACTCCAGCCAGGGTCGGGCAAAGGACCGTGAAAAGATTGTATCCTGTCTGCCGTCCGTCTGTCCGTCCCACTCACATGGCTAATGGTCTCAGGACAAGGAGAGCCTGAGCAGCACGCACCAGCGCCTAAACGCGTGCTGAGCTGGAAAATATTCCCTTTTGTGGTTCGAATGCGGCCATACCGTAGCACCAACACCACCACCACCACCACCACCAACTCCAATGCTCGCCAGCGACAAGTGTTTATTTTGGCATTTGGCCCCCAACTTTTTTGTTCGACCATCTGCCTAGTCAGCATTTGGCAGCGCACTCAACCCGATAGAGGAACCTCAACAGAAACCCCGAACCCGTGACTGAAGAGGCCATTGTTGGCCCTAATGATTATTGCTTTCCTTTCGTTATTTTGCTTCCTGCATCGGCATTGTTCGCTTTCGGGAAATTCCCCACATTGTTTGGCTGCTCTCCGACGTTTTTTTACGACGTTTTTCAATGGGCGTACAAAAATAATTTGCGGCAAATCTGAGGCTGGTAGGATAAGGATTTTATGCTTCTTAAATGATTTGCTAATTTTGGTAAGCAACTCACGGACTTATGGGCTCTTCCTGAAATGGCCCCGAAAATAGTCTTAATTATGAGCAAACTACACGCTCAAAATGTCAAATGATCCCAAGAGAACTTATCCGATTGCGACAGGTGGAAGAGCTGATATAATATTATTGGAAGACCTAACAGTGGCATACATGTATGGAAATTTACATTGAATTCTGATTCCTTTCGGAAATGCTTTCCCTAGTTATGGCACTGTGTATGGTTTTCTCGTTCTTCTAGGTCTTCTAGTTCTTGGTCCGGTATAATTCGGATCAGGTGTCATTGGCGGTAACTGTTCTGTTTCTCGTATCGTAAACACCGTTGGTTCCGTTTGTTTCGTGGATTCTGTTGATTCTGTTACCATATCAATGCAGTTGGTCTGGCATTCTTGCCTCGTCTGGTAGCCCTGAACACACGTGAGGCCTTGTCTGCACTTCCACTTTCTGACGGTCCACACCCAAATCGGTGGGTGGCACACGGCCCGCCTGTACTGACTTATCACCGTCGGAAGGTAGCAAAGTTCTTCAACGCTCAGCTTTCTCTGCGACGATCTTTTCGATTGCACAATCATTATCGCAGCCAGTAAGAGGGACAGCCGCAGCATGTTTCCCATTGCGTCAGCGACTGACGGACGGAGACCCAGCAATTACTCAGTTCTTATTCATTCCCATGGTTGCACAGTGCAACGAATTCGTTTTTTCCGCTCAACAATCCCTCGCCATAGATAATCTGAGAATTCCTTCACGCGGAATATGGCCGAGCGGACCTGCATGAGGGTTCTCTTTATGTGCTCTAAATTTGAATATAATGGCACTCCAGCTGGGATTTGGGCCAAGACTGGACCATCATTACCACTAATGGCAGGTGAATTGTAACCAAAATGGTATCGTATCTTGCCAGGCACTTTCCTGAATACTCACTCCTCTCTCTGGTTGCTTCGCTATTTGTTTTTCTTTCTTTGTCACTGTCTGCAATTTGTTTGAGTTATATCATTCTGGGCCGTAACAAATTAGTAGATTAGCCATGCAATTGGATTTAAAAGCGTCCCAAGAGGGACCTCCGACCTCCATCTGGGCTGGTTTTCCAGCGAAAAACACATAAAATGATGAAAGTGGTGCAACTGGGATTTTAAATAAGTTCGAAAATATTATACAATTTCTAAGCATTAAATTAGGTGTTTTCTGTGATTGGACATGCAATATTTTGACACTATTGGATGGTATTTTAGTAGGGATATCAGGAATCACTCGTGGCGAATGTTCGTAACGAATATGGAATTGTAATCTTCCATGCATCCCATAACAATTGGAAACACCGAAACTGTCTAAAAAACTGGACCAATGATGATGCATGGTTTTTTATCTCTTTATACCCGATACTCAAAATGGATGTGTGTAAAAGAAGGAAGCGTTTCGGACCCCATAAAGAATATATATTCTTGATCAGCATCAATAGCCGAGTCGAATGAGCCTTGTCTGTCTGTTCTAGGATCAGATCGGATTATTATCATAGCAAGAAGGAATAAATCAATTTGCAGTGGCTACGCCACCCTCTCTCTCTTACACACTCTTCTCAGGACAAGAGGAGCCCTACCGACTGACTATCGGGTATACGACAACGTTCCCCTCGTTTAATTTCTGCCCACCGTAATTGTCTTACCCCGACACTCGTACACTCTCCTCAATCCCTCCTCTGTGATGGCATTTATAATTAAGTTTCGGGTGCGCAATCATTTAGAGTGTTTTAGAGTGTTTGGCGGAATGTTGGAGCAGACGACGGGACAACGCCTCCAGACCAAAACAAATTTATGTAAATTTTTGATTCATTTAATTTTGGCTCAGACTGGCTCCACTCGTACAGCTCATTAGGCGAGGGTATTCGCCTGCTAATTGTACGGAAATCTTGGGCTGATGACATCCTCCACCACCATCCCCCCAGCCATATATCCGTGTTTGTAAATCAGTTGATTGCAGCCCCTCAATCAATCAATCAATCACTTTGCGCTCTGCTCAGTCTGGTTACATTTGAATACTGAAGTAATGAGAGCTGGCAGCCCTGCATTGCTCGGGAATCGGGCTTACCCATGGCGCTTCCGCTGGTGCCAGACATTGTAGGAGTGGAAAACCCGCTCAGAATGTGGTCCCATATTTCAATTTCCGGCATGGAAAGAGAATTTCTACTTTTCAGCTTTGAGCTGTCTGTTTGCTTGGACAGTTGCCGACCACTCCTTCCACCCCCGCCTTCCGCATTCCTCCTACGAGCCGTATTGTACGCTTTCTGACTTTTTTGAGCAAAATGCCATTTCTCTTCAAATTTGATTGATGCTGCGGAAGTTGGTTGCGCCCTCGAGCGTGTGTCGATTTGCTCGATTTTTGTTTTGCTATTTTCCAGATTTCGATTTCTGCTTTGCGGAGATTAAGTTTGTGGCCTTGCAACTGTGATAGCTTCCCCAAGCCATGTATAAGCCATGTGAGCGAACATTTCAAAAGATTACAAAATACAACAAATATTACGACGAATAAATTGTGGGAAATAGTGGAAAAGAGCATAGGGGAACAAACATATTCTTCTTTCTTTCAAATCAAAACAGTTTTCGAACCCTACATGTGTTTAAATAAATATATATAGAGATTCCATCCCAGAACCGATCATCAGAATAGATGCCTTGCACAATGTGCATTCCATTAGGTTTTTTTTTACAAAAAAAGTGTCGGGTTTGTCGGTAGGGATTGTTCATTCATGCATGCTCCGGATTTCTCTTTGCGAATCCGATATTTATGCTTTTGCCTTGTGTTTACCGAACTTTTTTATTATTTATGTCTATAAAGCTCCCAAAAATAGATACACGCACACAAACACACACACACACACACACACACACGAGCATCGCTGCACACATTAATCGGAAAACTCAACGTGCTTCTAACATTTTCCATAAAACAACTCAATTGAAAAACTTCGACGAAAAATGAACATGAAATGCTCTGCCAAATTAATAAAAATACAATGCATAATTGGACAAATAACTACGAAAATTTACGCACTAAAACAACAACAACAACGTACAATAATTCAATGAACAAAATCGGAAATAAAATCGAATCAAAAATTGACATCGAAATTACGCCGCTATCAATATCAACCCCATCAACGCTACTTCCGTCACCGCCACCGCCTCCACACCAAAAACCACCACCACCCACCGCCCACCGCCCACTGCCAACCGCCCGCAGAATGTCAATGTTCTTCTTTCGATTGCATAACCTGCAGCGCGCCGAGGAGAACAAGCGCAAGAAGCGCGTCGAGCAGCAGCGCCAGCAGCAGCGCCAGCGGCGGGGGGCCAAGGTCTTCAAATGTGTCAACGACTCCACCGGCCACCTGACCCTGGCCCCCTCGCGACTGTTCGAGCGCACGCCGATGAGTCCGTCGGACAGCCTGGACGAGATTGCGCTGCAGATACCCAGGTGAGTCGAGTGCCGTGCCCCAAGGCCGCCAAACACCTCGAACATTTCTCGAACCCACGTGCGAGAGGTAATAGACGTGTCTGCGGTTCTTTCGGTTGCCAGCCAGTAATGAGTTTCGCACCTTCTTTTCCAACTGTCTCAAAGAATGGGAATCCAAGGTAACAAAAGCCGCATGAAGATTGAAAGCGGGCTTCATCTGTTTTCGGGACTTCTTGGAATTCGTCTGTTGCTGACTGAGTGACAACACACTCCTCAGACGTGTGGTATCTGGGAGGCCTGTGAGGCAAGCCGCAACATTTAGCACAGCGTGGCTTGAAGAAATTCAAGGGGAATCCACATACATAAGTGGAAATAATTTAATGTAACCGCAAATTCATTTTCGAGTGTGCCAAAAGCGCAAAAGTAAAAAGAAAATGCTGAGGGTATGACTCTGCGTGTATTGTAAACACTGGTGGCATTGTACATATATCTCGAGTTTAGCTTTTGTTAATCATGTTTCGCCAAGTCAACCATTGTGACATGTGGAGCCTTTGTGGAGCTGCTTGTGGCATGGAAACCATTCTCAGAATGAGAGTACAATGAACAGAATGCCAGTTGTGCCTGGAGGAGATCAGAATGTACTTTTATTTTCCATTTGGGGCCAGTGGCAGATTGTTTATTGTATCCTTTGCTGGGACAGACCTAATCCCAAATACTTATTTAAATTGGCTTGCGAAATCCTTCAATTAATTAACTGCGGCTGCGAGTGCTAAGCCGAGGACTCTGAACTTGGCTTTTGTGGGGGGACTGTTAATTTGTCTGACTGTTTGTGAAAAAGTTATCCCAAAGCAGGCAGCGAGATTTACATTTTCCGCTTGAAGTACTCGGTTATTTGGAAAACATTCAGCATTAACTTTCGACAGCTACACACCTCACAAAATTAGAAATAGGCAAACATTTACACAAATCCAGAAGTTTCCAATTTGTCCAATTAGCCCCAAAATGAACATGCTGTGTGAGCGTGTGTCCGCGATCCTGGCGGGCACCCTTGTGGGCATGTGGTACGCCAAGACCTTTCCCGCCGAAAAGGATGCCAAGGATAGCAAGGACAAGAAGGACAAGAAGGGAAAGAAGTAATCGAAACCACTTCCCTTCCATCCTGGACTTCTCCAGAACCATTACCTTATTGACTGTGAGTTTTTAGCCCGTTTAAGGCCAGGCCATATATCAGAAGTGTTACAATTTCCCAATTATGATCTACTACAGCGCCTTAAATTAGCCACAGACTTGAGCAAACAAATGGAACCTAGTCGTCGGGACAAAGATCTCAAACCAGCTTCAATTCATTCAGTTCTCGTCCGACTTTCGAAGCGTTCCATTTTTTGTTAACACCGAAATTTCTCCGTTTATTTTTTTAAAATTTGATTTGATAAATTAGAGCAAGTTAAGATCGAGTTGGAAGACCTTTGAAACATGCCCTGTTGCAAGCGTAACGAAATCCGCCGTAACCCGTGCCGCAGCCCATCCATTCTGGCCCGCCTCAACTGCGTTGAATGCAATCGACTGCTAATCTTCATGGTCGGAGTAGGACTTGGGGCGCTCTACATACGCAAGTTCAATGAAGCACCGCAAACTGACAAGAAGAAAAAGTAGTCCCGGTCTAAAGACGGAGCAAAGCAGTGCTTGGGATCAGTCCACAATGGATGCATCGAGATGGATGGTTCTGGACAGTTCTGAACAGCTCTACACCGTATCGATGCCACTTGGAAGGAGTGATAAGGATGGTTCTGGAAGTCAAGAAGATCCGAGTCTCCGATCAAGCCATACGCAAGGATCCGAGAAGTCCAACAGCAGAGCAATTCGCTAAATTGGCAATTGGTAATCGATCAAGTGACAATAAGCAGAAAGTCTGAGGATCGTCATCCAGTTATAAGCTTGTGCCAATGATTCGATTATACCATTCTTTCTAAATTAAGCTGTCTTAAAAAATAAAAATCCCGTACCAAATTTAAATTTGAAATATGTATATAAAACACTATGTAATAAAGAATCAATTGATCTATAAATTTCCTATCTTAAATAGGAAAACATATATGAAATTAATATTAAGGAAAAAGTGTCTGTGAATGGTTTCAGCTAGATAGTTTTAAAACGAAAGAATGTACTCATGTAGTTTCCAGAGACAGACAGTGGCTATATCCCTATAATACGGAGACATCGCCATCTAAACTTATCTGTTGCTTATGATCGGGAATATCCTAGGGATCAAGCCCCCTGCACACTCGCTTCGCTATAATAGAAAGATTCCTTCGGGGTTGGAAGCACTTCCTCCGATAAAACACTATGCAAAGACGGTGTAATAATCTGCTGTTGGAGTATTTATTTCTGGAATGTTAATGGTTGTCTGAATATCTTTTATCCGCTTAATATGGAATTCCAAACTGTGCAAACAGCTATAGATTTGTATGCACGAACCCCAGCCCGTGCTGCGTGAAGTTCGAGTCATAAGAATTGGTTTATTGGGATTTAAGTTTGAACTGAAAATTTATAACTTGGGGATGGGGATCTTCTTGGTGGTAAACAGCTGGAGAAGATTCTGCGCGAGTGTTGCTCATTTTTTTTCCTTTTCCTTTTTCTCCCTCTCCTTCCGCTCCTTCTCTTGCTGAGCCTTCTCTTTCTTCTCCTTCTCTTTCCGCTCCTTCTCCTTCTTGTCGCGCTCCTTTTTCTCTTTCTCCAGCTCTTTGGGGGTCTTCTGGGCCTGCTTGGCCGCCTCTTCCTGGGCCTTCTTCATTTCCTGCTTCATCTGGTCGTAGTACAGCCCAATGCCGGCCCCGACCAGAAAGAAGGCCAATCGGTTGCAGGGAACACAGTTGAGCTTGGACCAGAGAGTCGGCCCGGGCTTGCATGGCGGCGGGGGACACTGGGGCTTGGGCGGACACTGGGATTTCGGAGGGGGGCAAGCCGGACGCTTACACATTTTGCTCTGTCTGGGCTCGAAGACACGTCAGAGAATATTGACCAAATGAAGATGATTTTTACCCAAAATTAATTTTGAATATGAGACCAACTTTTACACAATTTTTTTGTACTGAACCAGAAGCAAACTGTGACTTTGATCTCAAATTGCCTACGAAAGGATTTGGCAAACTGTTTTCCCCAGCCCATGCAGTTGGCCTATGATTTGACGTCAGTCCCACAATTTGTGTGTTAAATTATTTCGAGCACATTTTTGGAATCCTCAAAATTCTCGCTGCCATTTCGGGCATGGATCGTCTTCTAACTTTGCTTGTGGGCGGAATTGTCGGCTATATCATTGGCAAGAAGATGTAAAGGTAAATGAGAATTAAGCCAGGCTATCCCCATGCCACGGAGACTGTGGATAGTTGTGTATATATCGTACATCTTTCAGCTGTTTTTCGAGGCATAACTATGGAGAGCTCTTGGCTGTTGACCTTCATCGTTGGCTGCATTGTTGGCTATTTGGTTGGCAAGAACTATTGACAGAAAGGTGAGAAAGTTTCCGCTAGCTCGGAGTAGGCTCGGGGCTGTCCTTTACTGTCTTTTAGTCTCATTCGTTCTGTTCTCTTGCATTGATTTCGACAGACAAAAGTGAACAAAATTAACAGAAATTTCGTTTCAAGAATGGAATTGGACTGGGTGCTTACATTTGTGATTGGATGCTTGGTGGGCTATCTGATAGCCAAGAACTTGTAGGTTTTCAAGAAATTATCAAAATTAAAAGTCAAGAACCAAGCAAATATTCCACCTGTTTCCTGATCCTTGAACCAAAATGACGCACGTGATCTCCTTCGCCCTGGGCATAGTTATTGGCTTGATGCTGTGCAAGCGATGTTGAAGCATTCCAACCTGAATCTAGGCCACTGCTTCAGCATCTTACTGGAGCGACCACTCATCGCGGCCGAGGTTCTCGTCCACATGGTCGTGCTCCTGACAGCACTCCATGTCGCCCACAAGCCAAATGCCCATCGGCATTCTGTGTCAGCAGATGACCCTCCGACACATCGAAGCAGATCTTTCACCCACTCTTGCCGCTAAACTAAATTTATTAAGCAGACTGTAAAAATCAAGAATCAAAGAATGAGAATGATACTATAGTCGAGTCCCAGACTCAGTAGAGTTTTCTTTTCTCAGTCTGGCTGCAGTGATGATTTGATGGCGGGGTTGAGGGATACTCGGGAATACTAATATGTAGAAGGGGACGTGGAGACCTTCATAGAGTTTATGGGTTCTTTTGAGTAGGCTTTGCATAAACCAACAGTCAAAACATGTACGGAAAAGTCATTCAAATCAAGTCGTTTACCTCATACGGATACAACTTGGGAGTTTTTCGTACAATTTCTGGTTTCTTTGGCACCTGATAGGAAAGGCAAGGAAATGGAGTGGCTTTTGACATTCATTGTTGGTTGCATTGTGGGTTACTTGATTGCCAAAAACAGGTGCGTATTGAACGATATAAGTTCTACAAAAATTCGAAGTAGGCTTTGCTAATATTGACTCCCTCAGTCGATAGATAGCCGGCATAGTGGCAGCCCAAAATTGTATTTATACAAATTTTTAAGTTTTGGAAAACGAGGAAAATGCAGCGTTTTCTGACATTCATTGTTGGTGGAATCGTGGGCTACCTCATAGCCAAGAATACTCGCGTAAGTGACATGTTCTGGGATTGTTATTCTTTGTTTCTACTCTTTCTATTGCAGTAAGCAAGAATGACCCATTTGATCTGCTTTGGTCTGGGTGTGTGGGTCGGCATGCTTATGTGCCGACGCTGCGGTTCCTGAAGAATAAGTCCTCGAGCCTTTGCAGAATCTATTCGAATTGAATGCCAAGCCAAATTTAAGTTTTTTTGAACGTTAAGTCACACATTTAATAAAAGAACTATGCAGTATTCAATATTGCATCATTGTTTTTGCATTCAGGTAACTACAACTCCTTTAAGAATCAAAGTTCCAATTCCAAAGACAGGGAAATTCTATAAACAAGTCCCGCATTATGTACCTCTCATTAGACGACTTTCTGAAGGTTTATTCTATAACGGGTACATGCTTAAATGATAAATCATAGAATACAGCACGACGTCTAAATTTACTTGATCTTTTAACTAGAGTAATATATGGGGCAATCGGTTTGGGATTTTCAATCGACAGCCCAAAGTTTCGGGACGCACTGTAAAACGCAACCCCTTTCAACAGTTTTCTGCGGTCGAGAGGGTTTTGATGTTCCGTTCAATGCATTTATGACTTTGCTAAGAAACTGGGGCAGCCGCAATAAATATATGTGTCAGGCTGTGAGTTGGGTAAAGTTTGAAAGTTCGGGGAAAAGGGAAAACTTTCCATTTCCCGTACCGGCCCCAGGACGGAGGTGTGGGCCAGAGAGAACAATTTGTTGTTCCATGCGTGGGCCTATGAATACCCTTTGACTGGCTTCCACCTGCCCCACACCTGCTCGCCCCATTCATTATGATTGATTATTGAGAAAATCCAGGGCGATGTGGTACTCGCACGACGACGGCAGGCACACAAAACGTTTAACAAATGAGAAGACAGGCGAAGAGGCTTTCCTGAAGCACAAATGAACTCGTTGCGGCTCCTAATGGCATCGCTGGCTACGGCATTTCAATCAGTCTTAGGCCCCGGATCCGGTTCGGGCCACATCCGCATAAATAAATATTTCATGAGTTCAGCATCAGCTCCATCTCCAGCTCCAGCTCTTGCTCCGGTTCCAGTTGGGTTGAGCTCTAGCTCGAGTGCGTCCCCCTGCATAACTTACGACGGAGCTGTTTGTGGTAAGTCTTATCTGTGGGGCAAACAGACAAAGGTGGCCTGGGCGCCCTCTGCGTCCTCTTTGGTGGGGTAATTGGTTGAGGTGGCGTTCATAAGATTGACTCGACTACCGAATGAAATGGTTTCCCCCAAATGATTGATGGCCATGAGCGCGGTGGCCGGGTGCCAGGGTGCCAGAGTGCAGGCCGAGTCTGGGGTAAACCCAAAGGTTAAATTGCTTGCGGGCTCTGTGCGGGTCTGGAGTTTAGATTTATATGCCAGCCAACAGGTAGGGTAGCTCAAGGGTCTCGTCTCTCACTTGGCCTTGAAACGGTGCCCATCCCGCGCCCCAGCGTTCCACCCCCACCACCCGCACTGGTTGTCACTGATTGGACCCGCTCCAAAGAGCCTTTCAAGAGCATTCTGTTGAACCCATTCCGAATGCTAATTTGTCAATAGAAAGTTTTAATTGAATTTTGTTCACAAGCTGAGAATCAATTTATGCAGTTTTCCCGGTTAACAGAGGCGTTTTGAATTTCGGTTAAGCTCGGAAAAGCTTCGGCTGGGAAGAGCTTTCGCTTAACAGTGTCCTGTGGCTGTGGCTGAGGGTGTGCTTCGCAGCTTTCGGGCTCTCTCTTTCGGTCGAAAAACGTAAACAAAGACAGACAAATAACAGTGGCCGGCATCCGGGCGCGTCAGCTGTTGGCGCCTCCAGGACTCACCTCGCTGTGGTGGATTTCCCAGGGAGCCTGCGCCGCTTCCTTGGTGCCTCGTTCGCGTGCCACTCGGCTTCAGTCCCAATCCCAGTGCCGACACGTGCGAAAGCGTATCCGCGCGTATCCAAACGAGCTATTTTCAAACCGTAACGCTCGAAAACAAGTTTCAAATAGCAGGTGTTGTGGCTCGGAAAACCGAAGGACAGTTCGCTGAGAGACGATGTATACAAGCAATTGCTGGAAATAATATTTTTGCTCAAAAAAGTGTACAAGTGAATGAAGAATATAACAAAATAAAAGCACAAAAATCATATCAGTTAAAGAGCAAATAAATCCATTTTAAAATCAATTAATAAAAGTATTTAAATAACGATAAAACAAAACAAAGTATGGAAGCACAGATAGCATTAAAGAGACATAAATAACATCAATTTGAGGAGTGGAGCTTAGAAAAAACTAATTCAATTCAGAACCGCCATGTTGGTATTTTTGCTATGGGGATCAATGAGGGCTCCACACAGAAGTTCAGTCACTTGCCGGGAACTTACATTCTTCCTGCCTAGGCTTCTCCTTCCCTCGACAACAGCCAGCACAACAGCCAGGGACATGGATGTGGATGTGGATGCGAGATCCAAAGTTTTTGACAAACTTTCCAGAAGTCAAAACCATTTATGGTGGCTTGACACGCGCCACATGTTACGAGCTAGTGGAGTCAAATGGGGAGGATTAATTGGATTCAATATTAATAATCAAACGGAGGGAGGGCGGCTAGAAGCCAGAGAAGCGAATAGCCAAGTCTCTAATTAGCAGCGTTCCGAGTGGGGCAGGAGAGGGCTGCGCAGCGTTGACAAGTCCTCCGTCAGTTTGTCCGCCTGTTGGCCCTTCCTTCATTCATTCTTTCCGTACGTCTGGCCATGTAATTGAGTTATTTCTCTTGGATTTTTACCATTTTATTATTATTAAATGGCTGCTGCGACAACAAGCTGTTAATGGCGTCCCATAAAATGGCGTTTCTCACACATACAGCCAACCATTTGCGTGTGTGTATGGCTCTCCAAGTGTGCTCAAGATCCAGCGCGTTGCCTAAGCGGCGTCATGATTGTTTTAATGGCTACTTGAACGGAAATTAACTGACAGCGACAGATGAATGAAAGCGACAAGCTCTCCGCTTTTGTGGCACCCAAGTACAGCCGCCGCAGACCCTTAAAGCCGCACATCCTGCCTGCCGAACCGACTGCAGTCGGGCATGAAATGCGGTACGGTACGGCGCTTTCACGCGACTTCCAGTCTCGCCTCTCGCTCGAACTTTTCCAAATATTTGCACATTGAAATGTCAAACAAGCTAATTTGGCACATAATTCCAATTTCAAATGCATACGTACGCACACACACACACATATGTACATGCTCCTACTCGTGTGTATAGGAGGTGTGTGTGTGCGCACTCACACAATCTTCTCTACAAATTTCCGCCCATGATAAACAGAAATGGCAACCAATTTTTACCGAAATAAGTGTAAGAAGAACAACAAAAACAAAAAACCCAA